AAAAAAAAAAAAATGTGATCTCATTAAAAAAGATTCTTAGGGTCCAGAGTAAGATAATTTTTTTTTTAATTTTTGGTTTTTAAAAGTGAACCCTCCTCCCTTTGGTAATTTCAAATTGTAAAGTTACCATCCACCTTGCAAAAGTTTTAATGAAAAGTACAAAGAAAAAAATACAGGTGTCTGTTTTCTCCAAGATGTGAAGTCTCATTTATTGTAGTTTTGAGTGCCTATGTGAAAGGGTGCGTGGGACTTACGGAAGTATATGCCTTTTTTTTTTTTCTTCTTCTTTTTTTAGGTTTAATGGATGTTGTCATACCTGAGATCCTCTACTTTTCACGTTCTAGGTGTTTTTATGAAGGCACCTTTTCTTCACATATGATCAGAGATGATGATAGGGTTTTGAATTAAGTATGTATGTTCACTGACAACTTGCTACTGTTAGAGAAGACTTCAGGGAGTGTATCAAGTTCCCAGCCATTTGGAAGTCATTACTGTTTCTAGCTTCCTGTATCTAATCCAGATTAAGACTTTAAATTACGGCTAAATAAAAAGGCTATCCGTGTTTGCAAATGGATACACTTTGAGACTTGACTTAACCTGTTAACACAGTTCCCAAACAAAAGGAAAGGGACAGAACCGTAGCTAAACTACATGATAACATTTATGCTGGCCTTCTCATTCACCTATCCAATAGCAAAAAACTGCGGCTTATAAGGTGCATAAATGTAGATAGTAGCTTTAATGTCACTGTGGGTTTAAAATCATGAAGTCAACAAAGGGTTGTCAGAAATGGAGGAATACATGAAACTTTCATTTTTAAAAGAGGTATTATTTGCTTTGTAAAAAGAAATTAGATGGGCAAGACCTAACCTGGGACTAATGTAAACAGAAGACCAGCACTGTAAATCTCACTCTGCAGGAGGCAGACGCATCAGTTCTGGTTCACGTTCCAGCGGCTGTATGCCTTATTTAAGACTCACCGGACCTTATGGAGCCCTTTTTTATTTTTTGATTTTTTAATGACTCTTGTGCATTTGGTCCTGCAACAGACTAGAATTTAAAAAAAAAACAACAAAACTAACTGCTTTTTCTTTTACAGGGGGACAGTATCTTACTATCTCTGACCCCAAAGGCAAAGAAGGAAGAGTAGCGCATCTTATCCTGCCGTTGGGTCACATGGCTCAGGCCGGTGACTTGTGCCTGTCATTTAGGCATAAGGTGCCTGGACTGCATTCTGGTGCCCTCCAAGTCTTTGTAAGGAAAAATGGTGCTCACGGACCAGCCGTTTGGGGAAGAAATGGTGGCCATGGCTGGAGACAGACACACATAACTTTACGAGGACTAGGCATCAAGAGTGTGAGTACCGACGCGTGTGCTGCCTTCCGTTTTTTTGCCTGAGAAGCTGAAGACACTTAGATGGTATAGCACTGGACTGTTTGTCTTCTGGGTCCAATTTCAGCCTGTGTTTTACTTCTTTGTTCCCTGCCAACGGAATCACATTAAGGATAAGAGAGCCGTCGTGGATTTTGTCCAATTAGTTTTTTGCAAAAAAAGAAAACAAACACCTACAGCAATAGACACATAGGAAACTGCAAAATAGCCTGTACTGAGCTACCTCGTAGAGCCTGTTTTCAGGGAATCACCATGTAGGAAAGAGCAGTCTGATGAACAGTGGCGTACGTACATGGATTTCCAAAAAGCCCGTATCAAGATTCCTCATGAACAATGCTTTAAATAATACAGTGCCATAAAATAGGAAGAATCATCCCCTGTGGATTAATAACTGGCTAAACCAGGGCAAAGACACTGAAAATAAGTCATTTTTTATAATGTAGGGTCATTACATGTGCAATCTCACATGGTTTTATGCTCTTCAACATACTTGCAGCTGATCTGGACAAGGAGGTAAATGATGACCTAACTACGCCAATAACGCAAAATGGTTTAGCGCAATCAAAAGAAGCTGTCTGAAGTGCCATGGAGAATCTTCTAATACCTGGAAATCTTAGAAACATTGGGTGATAAACTGATATATCAAAAGCTCAGTATTTTTCTTCAACCCCTGCTTAGCTTTGAAGGTAGTTGCTATTTCAGATCTGAAGAAGAGGCTTGGGTGCTTCAGGGCCTGTTTTGCTCTGACTTGTATCAGGTGGTCTAAAAAAAGCTCACACATCATAATGTTTATAGTGGGAGCAGGCTACAACACACACAGTATATGGTTCTAAAATTAATATTAAGGCTATAATTACTGCAGTTAATTCTCTGAAAACTTTACCTCAGCAGAAGTAACAAAGACGCCTGACCTCCTGTTAGCTGTAAATGAATACCAGGCTAAGAATGTGGAAGTTTATAGCAGGTGAACAATATATTTGCCCCATTCTTACCCTTTTCTGCCAAGTTTAACACTTCTCGCAATCCTCAGGTCTGTCTCACCTTATGGGGCAGTTCATTAAATAAGTGTGTATTACTAACATACTGTCTGGCAGAAAAGCAAATGAGTTTTAGAGATGGCAAACAAGACCAGCAGCTCCCCTTTGCGCTATCCCCTGCCCCTCCTGACCACCTCAGCAGCAGCTGTCAGCGTGGCTCGCCAACTGTAACCCATCGCTTGGTCCACAGACCAGAGCTGCCTCACGGCACCTTACAGAACGGTCGAGCTTGGGATCTTTTCCAGCCAGCATGGGGAGCCTGGGCTGCTGACCTGAGCCACTGTGACATTTATTCCAAGGATCAGGGAATGAGAGAAAACTCTAGGTAAGCAGGGAAGGCCTCTGCCACAGAGAAATCAGGAAGAAACCAGGTAGCTTTATTTTCTAGCTAATTAATTAAAAACCAAAAGCAACTAAACACTAGTGATTTTAGGGGGGCCTACTGGAAACCTGAGGAGAATATGAATGGAGACCAGAATCCTTCATCACACTTTCCTTTGAATTAGCTCTGTGTAAATTATTTCTAAAGCACACTCAAAATCACTAATTTCTAAAAAAATAATTCATTTATTCAACAGTTGAATAAAAAATAATTTTAAATTCTTTTATTTCTAAAAAAATAATTCAGTATATTCAACACAGAGTTTATCTGACCTCCTCTGTTCCTACTCTTTATTTGAAAGCATGCTTTCAGCAAGCATCTGAATTATTTTTAACTACACAGCTGAATTTCTGATCTATGAATCTGTATTAACTCTTTCCAGCTCAGTGAAAACAGCAGACTCTTACAAAGTTTTGCTGTAGGCTTCGAATAATTTTTAAGCCATGGTCAAAAACACTGGCTGTGTTAAACAGTTCAGGCTTCTGAATCTACAGCAGTAGCGCAGGTGAGCAATACTGATTTATGGGAAGTATTTCTTAAAGTCAGCTGGCCATTCTGTACATTATCTCTGATTTATGCTCCGGTCCTTCTAGTCAAGCTTTATATTTGTTGAATGTCTCCTACTCAGGCTAAATCTGGACTGCCAATGATCTGCTTAACTCCATGCCCAAAGTTCTGCTGCCATTTTTCGAGGAGCCAGCGCTTCTGTAGATTACCATGAGTCTGCAGGAGCCAGAACGTGTTCAATACAAGATGGGTGTTTCTAGTTCCCATAACTAAGGCAGCTGCAAGGTGCTTTAGCAATGGAAAGCTCCTCTATTAGACAACATTTTTCAGAATACAGAGGATTTTATGTGTTTGCCATGAGGGACAATGAAAACAGTGCAGAGATGATACGTGGAAAGCGCCCGAGATTCTCTTATGTGGAAGTTCATCTCACCTCAGCAGATGGTGCAGCTGGAGCAACTCTGTCCTGAACTGCTGGTTATTCACAAAGATCCTGCCAAAGTGAAGAAGGGAGAGGGTCAGAAATGGAAAAACCAACCATAGTTCTGAGCAGAATAAATAGGCTTTTGCGAGTCGGTTATGAGTGCCTGAGCTTTCTTACGCTTTTGCTTTCTTACTGTTGAGACCTCTCTCAACCAAAGCTTCTTTATTTTTGCACTCAAATTGTTCTGTTTCTCTTCCCAGGTTATATTCAAAGGGGAGAAAGGGAAAGGAAGAACTGGGGATATTGGACTAGATGACGTGATCTTGAGGAGAGGACGCTGCTCTGAAGAGCATTAGCAAAGACAATGGACCAGCACAGTCATCTCCTCTAGCCCTTCTCGTGCTATTCCTACCAAGCTTTGAAACGGAACTGCACAAAAAAGAAGAAAAAGTTGGAGAGTGACAACTTCCTAGTGGTCTGCTAAGTGCAATCTCACCGAAACTTCACTTAAAACCATGGAGAGCACCTCCCAGGATTCAGGAACTCCAGTCCCGTGCTGGTTGTTTCTATTAATCCTTACCCCTAGTTCATATTTCGTATGTGATAACTTTATCCCCTGTTAAGCCTGGTGAGTGCTCACACAAAGAGCACTTGTGAAAAAGGGAGAAGTAATTACAAATGGTGGCAAAAGAAAGCTCCAGCTCAGAAAGTTTTAGTGTTAACTGATATTCATTATCTTCCCATAGTGCTACTCTTTCATTGATTAGATTTGATAGACAGTGGGATTGATCTAGCTTCAGAGTCACCTCAAGATTAGCAGAAGCCTGGACCTGAACTTTGGCTTACTGCCGTTGACCTTTGAAGAAGGGTTTGCTTCATATTAAATAGCATTTATTTTGGTGTTGCATCTGTATTAACAAAAAGCAGTTATATAGAGTAGGCACTGCATCCTGTAATATTGCTACTGCTGTTTTGTGTATATGTGTATGGTTATTAACATATTTATGTTTTTAATATTTACAGACTCTAGCTGCAAGGCAATTGGCAGCTGTGCTTTCTTATTGTACAAGACAGGAGCTCAGCATATTCTTTGATCCCGCTGGTCGTGCCAATAGATAAGTTACCAAAGTCAGTTAATGGTGCTCATTGAAAAATGCTGGTGCAGTTTTTCGTGTTAACTGATTCATTATCTTCCCATAGTGCTACTCTTTCATTGATTAGATTTGATAGACAGTGGGATTGATCTAGCTTCAGAGTCACCTCAAGATTAGCAGAAGCCTGGACCTGAACTTTGGCTTACTGCCGTTGACCTTTGAAGAAGGGTTTGCTTCATATTAAATAGCATTTATTTTGGTGTTGCATCTGTATTAACAAAAAGCAGTTATATAGAGTAGGCACTGCATCCTGTAATATTGCTACTGCTGTTTTGTGTATATGTGTATGGTTATTAACATATTTATGTTTTTAATATTTACAGACTCTAGCTGCAAGGCAATTGGCAGCTGTGCTTTCTTATTGTACAAGACAGGAGCTCAGCATATTCTTTGATCCCGCTGGTCGTGCCAATAGATAAGTTACCAAAGTCAGTTAATGGTGCTCATTGAAAAATGCTGGTGCAGTTTTTCATGCCATAATGTGCTGAAGGCAAAAGACCCAACCCTTACCTGATAGAAACTGGCATCCGATAATGCTGTGCAAGTTTGCATTTCGCTCAGGAGCAAGCCCTAAAGGGCTCTCGATCCTGCAAGAAGCTCCTGGTTCAGTTGAAGACCGAGCAGCCTGGAGAAGATAACTTGCATCTTGTAAGATTGAGCCCATTGACACCGCCAGGAATGTTCCCTGCCCACAGGTGGTGCGAGCCCACGCATAAGCCAAAAGGGCAGCTGCATTAATGCTGTATGAACAATTCAGACCCTGAAATGCCTCGAGTCATCTTTGTCAAATGCCCATATTCCATCCAACTCTTCTGTATAGAATAAACATTTTATTCTTTAGAACTAGAACAACTACTAGCTCTAGCTGGAACTCAATATTTATCAGAACTTTGGACTAATTTTTTAGTTATGGATCATGCGCATGGTGTGCAGTTTCCCAGGGAATTCTTCTGTTTGGTTTGGGATTTTTTTAAATGAGGAATATCAATCATCATCATCCTTGCTGCTAACAATTCTAAATTTGACAAAGTAATTGAAACATTTAAGAAAATGACAAAAGATTGATAAAGTGTTGTTAGTGGCGCAGCCTTAAAGCTTCAAAAATGTATATATAGAAGAATTAGGTCTCGGCTCTTTCAAATACTGAAATGCAATGTAAAATAAATGTCAGCTTCATAACATGTTATAAAACCATCATTAAAAAAAATTCACGTTAAGCCTTGCACAAAGCCCACAGAGACAAAATTGCAAGACTATGAGAGGTCGTATTCCAAACCCCTGTTTCTGACAAAGTTCTGTTCTGAAACCGTTTTTCCAATTTGGCCCCTAGGACAAACCACAGTCTGTATAGCAGAAGTTTATTTGACCAAACAGATAGTCTCCTGCAAAACTGTCTCAAGAAACATTTTGAAAAGGAAAGAAACAATGCATTTGTAAACATTTTTAAACTATTTCGTTTCAAATATGATCATGATCTTTTTCTCTTACGTTACTTTGTAATATGTCAGAATATTTGTGAATAGTTGAAATACCTTGTCCTTACTTTGAAGTAATCAGTAAAGGAAGCTGTTATTTGCTACTAATTGGAAATCTTGTTTTCATTCCTGGATTGGAAGTCTTATTTTTATTGCAGTGAAATGCACCAAAAGATGACAATTCGACCAAAGTGAAGTAGCCCTTGCTACCAGATTTAAAAATAAAAGTACATTTCACTGTAATATGACATAGAGCGTTGTATGTATTATTCAAAAGGAAGAATGACCATTTCCAACCTAGCTTTTTTTAAGAACAGTTTCACAGGTAATTGAAGAGCTTCTGCAATAATACAAAATGTCCATTTTAAAAGCGGCAGCAGCTGCCATCGTTCCACACACTGCTGAACCTGCACAAACTGTGACATTCTTTGGCGTCTAACAAGATTAACACATTTTGGTCTGGTTCACGTACAGTGAATGAAGATGGTCTTCACCACATATTAACCACACCTTTCTGAGATTGAGACTCCCTGGTTAAAATAGAAAATCTATCTCCTAGCTAGGCACGACTGAAAGTTTTTTGCCCCTTTACAAATGGCCCTTAGAACCCAGAACTTGAATGAATTCAGACGGTAAGCAGAAATAAGTACTCAGGTGACACAAGGAGGATTTGGGGTCTCTGTGTCTTACGAATGCATTTCATCGTTACAATCAAACAAGTTACACCGTAAAGCCTTGTTAACAACTGAAGTCGCAGTGGACATTGGGACAGTCTTTGCGAGTCTGGCTCCGAAGGGCCTGCTCTGGCTGTCAGTCACTCACCTCTGCAGCTGGTTGTGCCGTGACGCTGTACGTGTCACCTTCTCTCAGTGGTTCCGAAGAGACGAGGCGAGGTCGGTCAGTGGTTCTGTTGTGATGATCCTTCTCCAGCTCTTGCCGCGCCTGCCCTTTCAGGCAGCTCCACACAGCCACGCGCCTCAGCCAGGAGGGAGCTGGTACTGCCATTTTCATGTGAGCCTCAAGCAAGAGAGGCGGCTGTGGCATGAGGTCTTCCTATGAAGTAGGTTATAACTGCCCTTCCTGCTTGGGGTTTAACAAGTGGGTAACTGTGCCAAAAGAAATTCCTGCTTAAGTGTCTTAGGGAAGCAGAAGAAATTGCACTAAATTAACATGAAAACATTTAGCCAATGTACTGTATAACCTCTTGCCAGCTTATAATTTAATGTTTTAAAAAGACAAGTGAAGCCTTTTTCCCCAAAAAGGATTGAAAATAAGGATTCTTCATAAATTACAGGTACCGTGACCAGTGGCAGTGTGCATTTACTGCATTTACTGCTGACATCGAAGTGAGTCCAAAAAAAAGGGACTGGTACAGGATTTTGTTTCCAGGTTCCATTCTATACAGTCACCTCACCTCTCACCAGAGCCACGTCGTTAAGTCACTAGTGAGTGCTTTCAATAAACCCCATTCCTTCTGGGGAAAAGCTTCCCTGGGTTTCCTTCAATAAATTACCCTAGACTTGGAGGTCAAAACATTGGTTTTAATACAGTTGGAGATCACAATAACCACCCTAATAAGAGTCAGATTAGTCACGAGAAGACAAGCCTGAGCAGAAGAATGCCAGGTCTCTCTCTATACGCCCTATTATAGGTTGTTCCTCCCTGCAAATGAGACACAGTAAGTGTCTCAAAGACTGCTAAAATCAGACTTTGGATCTAGCTTTGCGTTGTGACAGTCACCTTGAAATCTGTTCACTCTGCGTTTAAAGACAGACAGACAAGCTAAGCTATAGCTGTCTGTCTTCAAAATTTTAATTGTGAATATTTGTTAGAAAGATAGAGTCATTAATTGTCAACTGAGGCCCAGTTAAATCCTATGCAATTTTTATTTATATAGATCTATATCTCAAACACCAAATTATCAAAGTTTTCCTGGTAGGTAGAACGCTTTCTTACCTGCTGTTTTATCCCCATGTCCTGTAGTCACACAAGGTTTTACGACTTCAGATTTTCCACACCAATTTAAAAAAAAAAAAAAAAAAAAAAAAAAAAAAAAAAAAAAAAAAAAAAAAAAAAAAAAAAAAAAAAAAAAAAAAAAAAAAAAAAAAAAAAAAAAAAAAAAAAAAAAAAAAAAAAAAAAAAAAAAAAAAAAAAAAAAAAAAAAAAAAAAAAAAAAAAAAAAAAAAAAAAAAAAAAAAAAAAAAAAAAAAAAAAAAAAAAAAAAAAAAAAAAAAAAAAAAAAAAAAAAAAAAAAAAAAAAAAAAAAAAAAAAAAAAAAAAAAAAAAAAAAAAAAAAAAAAAAAAAAAAAAAAAAAAAAAAAAAAAAAAAAAAAAAAAAAAAAAAAAAAAAAAAAAAAAAAAAAAAAAAAAAAAAAAAAAAAAAAAAAAAAAAAAAAAAAAAAAAAAAAAAAAAAAAAAAAAAAAAAAAAAAAAAAAAAAAAAAAAAAAAAAAAAAAAAAAAAAAAAAAAAAAAAAAAAAAAAAAAAAAAAAAAAAAAAAAAAAAAAAAAAAAAAAAAAAAAAAAAAAAAAAAAAAAAAGATGAGCAATGCATTGGTGTAAACCTGCATCTTTAGAAAGAAAGAATAGCCGTTATGGTGGTAACTTCCAGTGGTGGTTTGAAAGAACACAGAAACCTCCTCGTGCTTTGGAAGTTAATACATTCTCAGAGCACACCTACTGCTTCAAACTGACCTCGCCATAAGCGAGGAAATGCTTTATTTGGTTGAGAGGAAGATGCCAACGGACTGAAGGTCTTCAGAGGACACAAAGACACCTTTAACAGCACAGACTGAAGCACCTGTAGGGTTCAGACACCAGCTCCGGGTAGGTTTTCAGGCTTACAAGTTCAAAACGAATCAAATCACATTCTAGCTGCTCTGCTCTTACCAATTCTCCTTGCGCACTCGTATGACCTCTTCCGAGCCCAAACCCTGTTCCTTTGCTTTGAAACAAATTGTCCTCTAGACAGGGCTCTTGCTGGTTGCTTTGGGCTGAGATAGCCTACTTTTTTAAAAACAAATGGTTTATTTTTTTACTTACCTCTCCTCTTAAACTTGACAAACAGCCTGGGTAACATTACTGAGATCAGGATAGCAGTTTCTTTTCATAGCAAATAACCCAATTACTGGATCTGAGCGCTCACTGGACTGTTCATGTTAGGTTGCCTTTTTTCTCCTAAGAAATCTCTAATTTAACTCCCGAGAGCCAGATGGGATATCATGCTTGATACACGTCAAAAGTATAGATCTATCCCTCGTTTTCTTAATAACATGTCAAACAATGAAGCAAAGCGGACCTGAATTTTCTAGATAAAGACAGAAATAATTCCCTGCTCTATGGATCAGGCACTCCCCATCATTATTTTTCCTCACATTGCTTCCCAATAGCTGTTAAGAATCAACTAATTCTTTCTTTACTCTGAGTAATATTTAACCTCATTCTGTAGTACATGGGCAGATTTTTG